TCTTTATTCCTTTTATGAATTCCAAGAACATTATGTAATACATCAATCTTATCATATGATGGATGTCCTAATCGACTATGCCATAAGGCACTATCAACAACAACAGAAACCTTCTATTTATACAAGAGTGTTCCGGTTATCAACATGATTAACCGGTTTACACTAAACCAAACTTATATACCAATAAGCTTCTTCAAGCCATGTCTTGCAGACAATAGAAGCTTTTATGTTGGCTTTTAATCCGAGGCGGGATAATATATCCTGTAAGAGATCTGTCGGAATATTTTGATCCCACGATCCTGTATAACACTTCCTCTTCGATCTCCAATCTCCTCTAGCGTTTGCAATTACAAGGAGAAGAGGAAGACGAAAAACAATTTAGAGTTTTAATTAGTTTATAAGAGGAATTACAATGGATAAAGAAAAGAAAACCTAAACCCTAGAGATCATAAACCCTGAAATTTTGATTGAAAGGAGAATAAAAAAAATAGAAAACTCACCTCGCTTGAACAATGGAATTCACTCTCAGGGATTCTGGTTGGGTTTTTTGGGTTTGGGTTTTTCGGGTTTAGAAAACTAAGATCCATTCGGGTATTTTAAAACTTCGGGTTTGGGTCGGGTTCGGATCGGGTATTTTGGGTTCGGATTCAGGTTTACCCAAAGTATCCAAATATTAGAAATTTTGTATCCGACCTATGCAAAGTATTGAAAAATAATCAAAAAATCTATAAAACCCAAATATTTTAACCCGAATCTAACCCAAAGTAGCTAAAACACCCGAATATCTTAACATCCGAATAATTTTGGCACTTAGGTTATTACAAGTATAAATATTACTAATATATTATAACTATGTACTTATATTTTGGGTATGTTCGGGTACTTGTTCGGGTTCGAGTTCGGGTCGGGTTCGGGTTTTTCGGGTTGTCAAGTTTAGAATCCGTTCGGGTATTTTAAAACTTCGGGTTCGGGTTCGGGTCGGATTTTTCGGGTCGGGTTCGGTTCGGTTCTTCGAGTTCGGGTATTATGCCCAGGCCTAGACTAAATGTAGCTTTTCTGAAATGCAGATAGAGATAATAGGACTATTCATCTTGTTTGAGCTGTTGTAGAAATAGATTTGGGGATTTGGTGTTTTCATTTGGGAAAAATCTTTTTGGACATACTAACAGTGTCGTTAACGGGTGATAACGGATGTTATAGGTTCAGTTAACGAATGATGACGACATGTCTACTTTGGCCTGGTCAACGAATTCTAATGTTTCAAATGTTAGTCAACGATTAGTTCATGTTTTGAATGGCCACATATGAAGTTGATGTTTAAAATGGCCACAATTTGAAAGTTGATTAACAGAGTCGTTACGGGTGATAACGGGCGTTAGAAGTTCCGTTAACGACTGATAACGGCATGTCTATTTTGGCCTGGTCAACGTTAGTCAACGTTTATTTCATGTTTTAAATGGCCACATATGAAGTTGACGTATTGATTGGCCACTTTTTGAAAGTTGGGAGATAAAACGACATTTTTCCCGTTTTGTAAGTTCGTAAATATAATATGTGCATATATATATATATATATATATATATATATATATATATATATATATATATATCTCCCTCTTTCTTTAAGCCGTCAAAGAAACACAACCCTAGTTGTATGTTCATGTTGTCGTCGGAGTCGTGAGGTGGAGAAGGTCGTGAGGTGGAGAAGCAACTTGAATCCTAGAGCCACCGCCTTGTGTGTTGTTGGCGTTGATTGCCGCCGCCGTTCCAAAGCTTACATGGCCGTCGTTGTGAGAAACTATCGTGAGTCTGGTGGAGGAGAAGAGAGAGAGCGTGAGACCATGGCCACCGTGTGTCACCGGAGCAACTGTAGCTATCGTCGAGGCCGTTAAAGGTAAGGAAACCCTATATCTCTATAATAACTTGCAAAGGAAGTTTCTTATGTTGTCTTTTATCCCTTTCAATATTGAAAGCGTAAATGGGCTTATTCTATGTTAAATGGGCTTATTCTTCCTTTCTTTTATCCTCTCAATATTGAAAGCGTAAATCCGAGTCAATCCTTCCATTTTCCATTATGTCGATCTTGATTATTCTATTTTCACATAAAGGGAGCTTATTCTATGTTAAATGTAGGGGTGGGCATTTAAACCGAACCGAACCGAACCGACCCAACCCAACCGAACTCAAACCGACCTAAACCGAACCCAAGCTTAGACTCAAACCATTCGGTTGGGTTTATTCTCAACCCAAAACCGAACCGAACCGATAACCCAATGTGTTTATTTAATTAATTAGTTAATTATATTAATAATATTATAAATAACTAAATATGTGTTTATTTTTACTTTTATAATAATTTGAATAAATGTAAAATATATTTAATTATCTCTAAAACTCTAACTCTAAAAAAATTAGGGTTCTCCTTCTAACTTATAAAGAGTAAAACTCAAAAATACTTTCATATTTTATTCTTGATGACATTGCGTGAAGGAATCATGGAAGATTGGTATGTTACGTTGTTAATTGGATTTCATTTTCCTTTTCTTCTAATTACCATGGTTGGGTTTTTTAGGTTTTTCTTTTCATGGTTAATTTGAATTATTCAATTTAAACTTACAACTTGAAATTACTTTATCAATTTCAATGTTCAAACTTCAAAGACAATGAAATTTTTGGTTTTGTTACATTAATTGATTTTTTGAACCGAACTCAAACCGAATCCAAGTAAAACCGAACCGAACCAAACATAAACTGACCCAAACACAAACCGAACCAAACTAACTTCGGTTGAGTTTGGTTAGAGTTTTACGAAACCCAAATAAACCGAACCAAACCGAACTGAACCCAAACCGAACCCGAAGTTAAACCGAAATGCCCACCCCTAGTTAAATGGGCTTCTTTTATCGCGCCGAACCCGATTTAATGTTTCGAGGATACAATTTATTTTTGGTTCGAGTCGAGTTAACCGGTTGGTGCTAAATCATTCTCCTAGAAGTTATATAAGGCAAAAAGAGTTGTTAGTGTTAAAAGAAAACAATATTAAATAATCGTATAATTTCTATCTAAAAATATAAAGAAACAACTACTCTAGTTGTGGAAGCCCCCTTGGCCCATTGGTTGACTAAGCATTAATTAATGCTTCTACACCAAGAGGTCTGGGGTTCGAGTCCCAGATATTGCGATTTATTAACAAATTTGCAGATTAATGGAGGCAAATGTGCAGGAGATCTCCAGCGATGTACAATTATAGCAGTTCGCCAGGATTCTACACAGAGAGGAAAGTGTCGTCAGGTCGTGGATCATTGAAGGTAACCATCAAGAGTATGAAGAAGAAAGTGTCGTATGTCGTGGATCTAATAAGGGTCGGAAATAATTGTCCGTTGTAGAGTCGTCTATGTAAAAGTTCTCATAATTTGCAATAAATAATAAATCGAGACGTTAAAAACAAATAAATAACTACTCTAGTCACCACATTATAATTTGGAAATAATAGCGGTATAAAAAAATCTTGTACCACCAATTATTTATAGATTTTCATTACAAATTATATTTTTTTTTTACAAATGAATAATAATTAAACAAAATAGCATTATATAAAATCGCCAGAGTATAGTTTCAAAACCAGTTTATCTTAAAAACAAATGCTCACAACCAAATCCATAATATTCTAACTTGAGGTAGGGGATTGCTAGATTCCGTTCTTGGCCCCATTATGCATATTTTAAGAGAATATCCGGCTATGAGTGGAATATGGCAGCGTCTTGTACCTATTGGGAAAGCCCAGCGTTTCTTTACACAGTCCTTGTTGGAGTGGTTGTATGAGAATCTCAGCAGGGAAGTGCAAATGGAACATTACCCTTGGTCTACATTATTTGGGATGTCAGTTTGGTGGGGATATGGAAATGGCGGTGTGGGAACATTTTTGGAGTAAATGGTAAATGCAGGGACAGAGTTGCGTTTGTCAGGAAGTTGGCAAGTGAGGTGCAGGAAGCTAACTCATCTCTCAAGGGGTTGCGGGCGAGGAGGGGAAGAATAGAGCGGATGGTTAAGTGGGAGCCGCCGAGAGATGGATGGATGAAAATAAACACTGATGGAGCGTCACATGGTAATCCGGGGAGAGCCACAGCAGGTGGTGTGTTACGGGATGAGACAGGGACTTGGCGTGGAGGCTATGCTTTGAATATAGGCATATGCTCGGTTCCGTTGGCGGAACTGTGGGAAGTATATTATGGCCTTTATATAGCATGGGAGAGGCGAGTGACGCATTTAGAGTTGGAGGTAGACTCAAAGGTGCTAGTTGAGTTTCTTAAGACAGGGGTTAACGACACGCACCCGCTGTCCTTCTTGGTACGATTGCGCCATGGCTTCATTTCGAAGGACTGGAATGTCCGGATTTCTCATACATATAAGGAGGCTAATCATCTTGCCGACGGATTAGCGAATTATATATATCATATATAACATCACATTATCAAACATCATTACTAACACATATCAAAGTCAACAATCATCGTCATAACTTCACACCAATCTTATCCTATACAATCAGATCTAAACCTACACATCATGCGTCAAGGAGAATAATACCGAAAGAAAATGATACTATGCTTCGCAAATACCACCCTCACCTTAGCCTATTGAAGACGAAGACTCACTTCTCCTTTCTTTTCATTTAGGCATACTTAATATCTTTACTGCAACCACATGATCTTAAGTTCTACCTTGGTTCTCCATCAAAGGGGACCTGAATTCATGAGTCATTAAAGCTCTTGCAAAGCTTCAGCTAAAACCGAGCTCATTTACCCAACCAACAACACAAACTCGTTATAACTTTTTAGTTTTTACAAAACAGAAACTGAATTTGATCGAAAAAAAAAAGTTACAAAACAGAAACTGAATCAGAGAAAAAGTCTTTTCTCTCCTAAACCTAAAAACCCTTATTTGCCTTCTCTCCTACGAATTTCTATCTAGATCATATTCGTTTATCTCTTGAGTAGGTTTTAGGGTTTCTCGCTTCACAGGTTTTAGAGGAAGATGAATTATACGAGATTTGACCCCAAGGTCCAGCTTATACTTGCAAAGGCTCGAACACTTGCCATCGTATCGTCACATGTTCAAGTAACTCCTCTGCATCTCGGAGTTGGTTTGATTTCTGACAAGACTGGTGTTTTCTATCGAGCAATCACCACTGCAGGAGGAAGCGAACTCTTGGCTCAGTCAGCTGTCAAAGTCATCAAACAAGCCTTAAAAAAGCTCCCAAAACAGGTTCCTCCACCAACTGGAGCCATTCCTCGATACCCAAGTCGTAAGAATCTTCCAAAACAGACTCCTCCAATATCGAATGGGGCCATTCCTCAATATCCAGGTCTTAACATACCTCAAAATCCCATTCCCTTCTTAACTAGAACCATTCCTCAAAACAATGCAAGTCTTGTTATGGTCTTAAATCGTGCACAAACGAAGCCCGGGGAGACCAGTGTGGGAGTAGAGGCATTGGTGATTAGTCTTCTTGATGATTCTCAAATCAGGGATTTGTTGAAAGAAGCTGGTTCTGTACCAGAGAAGGTTAAGTCTGAGGTGGAGAAGCTTGGTGGCGAGGTAAACCTTCAGGCTTTGAAGACTTATGGGATAGATTTGGTTGAGCAAGTAGGTAAGCTTGATCCTGTCATTGGCCGAGACAAGGAGATTAGAAGAGTTGTTGGGATTCTCTCAAGGAGAACCAAGAACAACCCCGTGCTTATTGGTGAGCCAGGTGTTGGAAAAACTGCTGTGGTTGAAGGTTTGGCTCAAAGGATATTGAAAGGAGACGTGCCTATCAATCTTACCGATGTAAAGCTCTTTTCCTTGGACTTGGGTGCAATGGTTGCCGGAACAACACTACGTGGACAATTCGAAGAAAGATTGAAGTCGGTCTTGAAAGAAGTTGAGAATGCTCAAGGCAAAGTTGTTCTCTTTATCGATGAGATCCACATGGCTCTTGGTGCTGGAAAGGCAAGTGGCTCCACGGATGCTGCTAATTTGCTTAAGCCTATGTTAGCAAGAGGTCAGCTTCGTTGCATTGGTGCTACTACGCTTGAGGAATACCGAACACATATCGAGAAAGATGCTGCATTCGAGAGAAGGTTCCAACAAGTGTATGTAGCTGAGCCTAGTGTCCCTGACACTATCAGTATTCTTCGAGGGCTTAAAGAAAAATATGAAGGACACCATGGTGTTCGTATCCAAGACAGTGCTCTTGTTGTTTCTGCTCAATTGTCTGCGCGTTACATCACTGGTCTGTTGCGCGATCTTTCTATTTAAGATGTCCTTGGTTTATGATAATTATTTTATTTTTGCTGATTTGTGTTCTATTTCTGTTCTGTATTTGCTTAGCTCGACGTTTACCGGATAAGGCAATTGATTTGGTTGATGAGTCTTGTGCACATGTGAGAGTCCAGCTTGATAGTCAACCAGAAGAAATTGATTACCTTGAAAGAAAAACAATGCAACTAAAGATAGAGATTCATGCTCTCGAAAAGGAGAAGGACGACAAAGCTAGCGAAGCTCGCCTAGTCGAAGTATATTACTTTGAAAACATGTTCTTTATATATAAGTCTGCTTAGTAAGTGTTGTTTATATACGAGCTTCTTTGATTTGTTATTCTGCAGGTGAGGAAAGAGCTTGATGACTTGAGGGACAAGCTTGAGCCTCTTACAATAAAATACAAGAATGAGAAAAGGATAATTAATGAAACTCGGAGTCTTAAACAGAAACGAGATGAGCTCATGATTGCTCTACAAGAGGCTGAGAGACAATATGACCTTCCTAAAGCTGCTGATCTAAGATATGGGGCAATTCAGGAAGTAGAATCCGCGATAGCAAAATTAGAAAAGAGTGTTAAAGATAACGTGATGCTTACGGAAACTGTTGGGCCAGAGAATATTGCTGAGGTAGTGAGCCGATGGACTGGGATTCCAGTGACTGCACTTGACCAGAACGAGAAGAAGAGGCTGATTTCTCTTGCTGATAGGTTGCACGAGAGAGTTGTTGGACAAGACGAAGCCGTGAAAGCTGTAGCTGCGGCAATTCTAAGGTCAAGGGTTGGACTAGGAAGGCCACAACAACCATCTGGTTCCTTTCTTTTCCTCGGTCCAACTGGTGTTGGTAAAACTGAGCTGGCTAAAGCTCTTGCTGAGCAACTCTTTTACGATGAAAACCTACTTGTTAGGCTTGATATGTCGGAGTATATGGATAGATCCACTGTTAATAAACTTATAGGGGCACCACCCGGGTACTTGCTTATAACTCAAGCCTCTTATGTGCGTTTGTGATTAATGGTATAATGGAAACTCAAATGATAGTACTTTGTTTTTAGGTACATTGGTCATGAAGAAGGTGGACAACTAACCGAACCCGTGAGGAGACGACCTTACTGTGTTGTACTATTTGATGAAGTTGAAAAGGCCAATGTTACTGTATTCAACACGCTACTTCAAGTGTTAGAAGACGGGAGATTAACCGATTCGCATGGGAGGACAGTCGATTTCAAAAACACAGTGATCATAATGACTTCTAACCTTGGTGCTGACCACCTTATTTCAGGGCTTACTGGTGAAGTGACAATGCAAGTGGCTCGAGACAACACAATGAAAGAGGTGAAAAAACATTTCAGGCCAGAGCTGTTAAACAGATTGGATGAGATAGTGATGTTTCATCCTTTGTCCCACGAGCATTTGACAAAAATTGTTCAACTCCAAGTGAATAATGTTGCTAATCGTCTTGCTGAGAAAGGTGTATCTATGACTGTATGCATTGGACTACATTTTAGCAGCGAGTTACGACTCGGTAAATGTCCTTTTTCCTTATCACTTAACAAGTATATGTTGCGCTTGAGGTTTTACATTTGTATCACTCACTTACGTATGATTATTATTGTAGGTGTATGGTGCTAGGCCTATTAGAAGATGGCTAGAGAGGAATGTGGTCACAGATATATCGATGATGATTGTACGAGAAGAAATCGATGACGACTCCATTGTGTGCATTGATGTAAACGTGGATAAAACTGATCTTGTCTACCAAATAGATGAGAATGTGGTTGCGAAGAAGACAGAGCAAACGTCAGATGTTGTGATTCATTCACGGAATAAGAGGGGAAGAAGCAATGAAGAAACTTTAACCAAAAAAATAAAAAGTGAAGTCATAGTGATAGATTGAAGAATGATCAAGGATTGAAAGTTAGATTCATATATCTCTACGCTCTGCTTTTTTTATTTTAGTTTATATGTAAGATTTGTGTTACCTTTGTTCATATCAGCTTTCCAAATCTTACAATAAGATGGATCAATCATTATGTTGAGTTCTTAAAAAACTATCATGTTATTAATTTACTAAAATGAAAACAAATAAATGGGTTTATCGGTCTTAAACCGGAATCTTTTCGGGGAGTTTGGTGTTTCCGGTTACAGTCAAACTGTCGTAGTAATCCACAAGCACCTTCCAGCCTCCAGGGCACATAAATCCATCTGGAGGGTTCTCTCTGTTCTTTGCCAATGCTCTCATCTATCAAAACAACCACCAAATCAAGCTTTAGTCAGAAATCGAGTACACTTAAAGCTTAGTTACATTATGTCCCAAGTGGTTTGAGAAGTTATTTACCTTAGTGCCAGAAATGAACAAGAAATCCTGTGCCCTAGTGGGATCAAAGAAAGCCATCTTGCCTTGTGTCTTATCGTAAGCAGCAACCTAAACCAATTAGAACCAGAAATCAGAACTCAAAAAGCTTAAATCTTTTAAGGAGATACCGAGGTTGAGTATTATGCGATTTTGATGTATATACCCTGAAAGGAAGAATGTTGAGTCGTTCGAGTCCAGGAGCCATGCTTAGTACTTTCTTCCCGTGATCAGCATCATACAGGTCACGTTTCTCCACAGGATGACCCATTCCAGCTGGATCCCTACCCACAATGTAGAAGTTAGCACCGGCATTGATCCTAGCCTTTGCGTGCCACTGCACTTCGGTTGGACCAGCATATAGCATTGGAGATGGGAATATAGAAACCACAGTCGTCTCTGGATCAAGAACACCGTCCTCTAACACCTAATTAAGTCACGTAAACCAACTCAGCATCTCCTATAAAGAAACTAGTAACAACACACAAAGAAGAAAAGACTTTGCTTCCATTATTACCTTCTCGTGCTGTTTCATTCGCCAGCTTAAAGGAACATCATCCGCTTTCGTAAACCCTCCCAATGGATGAAGCAAAAGTATTGGGTTTTTATAACCCATCTCAAGAAGTCTCCTACGAGTATCAGTCATAAGAAGAGCATGTCCGTTATGAACCGGGTTCCTAAGCTGGAACGCAAAGACCGCATCCGCGCCACGCTTCTCTAGCTCCTTACGCAGTTCAAACGGCGAAAGCCTGAAACGATCAAGCCCATCATTGTACTTAACAGGTTCTAAAACCTCAAGATCACCACCAATAAGCCAGTTTCCAGCATTAGTTATCGCCTCTTCTACATAAGGCAAACCCGGTGCAGTCGTACCCCAAGTTCTCGCTATCCGTTCCTCTTTCGGATGTTTATAAATCTCAATACTGAAAATGTATACACAATCAACAACAGACCAATAAAAACCGAAACTTTATTCCTCAAAATCTTATAAAAACCTAAAAGAAACTTACTCATTGAGAATAGCGATTGGATTATCATCAGAATCAACAAGAGAGACACGTTTCGATTCACCAATTAGGGTTTTTTGTTGATCATCAATAGCAAGAACAATAGGCACAGACATATTAACAACAGATCCATCATCAAGATTGAGCAAATTGAAATGAAGAGTTTGGAGGAACTCAGATTCCCTCATAAACCCTCGAAGAGGACTAGCCCAACCTTCACTCAATACATGCATCCATTGCAAATCAATCGCCGTCAATCTCACTTTCGGCAAATCAGCCGCTTCGTGTTTCTTCTCTCGCCGTCGTGGCTCCGATACAACAAGATCTACAAGCTTCCCACCATCTGGCTCGATTAAGCCAGCTCGTACACGGAGGGTTGTTAGGTTACGGTTTCTTGAATACGAAGGGAATGAAATGGATGTGGTTATGGAATCGGATTTGTGGGGTTTGGTGAGAGGTTGAGAGAGGAAAGAGGTTGATTTGGGGAAGACGGTGGACATGGAAGCCATTGAAGGAGGAGAATCGAAAGCCAAAAACAGAGAGGAATGTGAAATTTTGAAGTTTTTTTGTTCTGTAATGGAGAATGAGAATCTTCGAAATGAATTTTGAAGTGGAAGATGAAGTGTGAGTGGGCTTTTATAGACCAATGTGATTTGTTTTAAGGACCGTCTTGCAAATGTATCTGGACACTTGTTTTGTTTTAGTATAAATCTATATTTATATTATCTATATATACATTTTTGGATGACTTTTAGCAAATAAATCATGAAGTTGATAAGTATTTACAATGGAATGCCACTGGTGGGTCGGGTTTTTGTTTATTTTTTGACCCGAAATCGTTTTAAACAGATCTTCCTTTAATTTTGCACAAAAAAAAGACATTAAATCTATATATACATTTTTGGATGACTTTTGGCAAATAAATCCTGGAGTTGGAATGTATTTACAAAGAATGCCATTGGCATTTATTATTTACTTTTACAAAATTTAAATAAAAGATATGAACCAAACAATATCTTGCCTAATTTGTTTTTAAAAATCTCTACACAATCTTTCCATATATCTTCAAAAAACTTTTATAGCAAATATTTATATTAACATTTTGCATAGTAATAAAAATACTAATTTATAATAATCAAAATATTCACATAGAAAAATTATATACACATACAAGAAAAAACTATATATGTCATCATTTAAGCCGTTGCTTTATTTAAATAAAATAAAAACACAAAAACCTAAAATCATATATTTTATATGATAAATTTAAAATATATATTAGTAATATAAATTTAAAATCATTCAAAGAACGGTATATCACGGGTGAGATCCTAAAATTATTGGATTTTATTACAATAATAATTTATTTTCTTGGATTTTATAACACTAATAATTTAGCTAATGGGATAATATAGACGGGTTTATATGGAATGACGGGTTTGGGTCGATATTAATAACGGTATATTAAGGATGAAATCCTAAAATTAACAATCAAAATACAATTATACAATCTTAAACACAAAACAAAAGAAACAATATTAACAAAACAAATACAACTTAAAATTTTTAGTTATTAAAAAACCGACCCACGGTATACTTCGGAGTCAAATATTCAAAATTTTAAAATCCACCATACATCGTTACTTAAAAAAAATGTATGTTTTCGTATCTATACTTTAAAAATTGAAACCTAAACAATAGTAATCATACACTAGATAATACATAGATAGATATCTACATTTAAAAATACAAATTAATATGATATATCTTCAGTTAAACTTTAAAAAATAACATTATATTTTTTAAAAAATATAGCCACGCGGTGTACCGCGGGTTAAATTCTAGTTATATATACATTTTTGGATGACTTTTAGCAAATAAATCCTGGAGTTGGAATGTATTTACAATGGAATGCCACTGGTTGATCGGTTTATTTTAATAACGTTTGACCCGGTTTATTAAATCGGATACTTCCGAAAATTCTGCTTCTAACATTTAATGAAACAAATAAACGACTAGGCCCAATATTAGGCCCATCTTAATCACGTTACCTTTTTTTATTTATTTGGCAAAACCACATTAATTAAATAATCTTAAATCAACATATAAAATCTAAACTTACCAATCTCCAAATATTTAACTACAGAATTAGTTACTATACTTAAACGACATATTGGATTCAAATCTTCCTAAAATATCTCAAACTTAATTCGATCATCAATTTATATATTCTTCACGTTATATTCCAAAACCAATTCACCATTCTTTCAGTCTCATATTTCCGATTGTATCTCCTGCAATAATAAATGAGATTCATATATTAATAAACTTCCTTACACTAATCTACATTTTATTAGCAAAAAATTTCAAATTCTCACTTTTAGTAATTTTGTTTCTCCTAAAATTCTATTCTTAACAACCTAACAAAACTAATTTCCTAATCACAATTCCATATCTCCTAACTTTCTTCTCTTAACAAACTAATTAATTCAATCCCACGAAATCCTCATTCCAATATCAACCTACAAATCTAGAAAATTAATCAATTTCGTTATTCTATAAGCATAAAGATGGTATATTCCTAACAAACCTATTATATTGAAAGATATTATTCCACACGTTTTGGTTCATGTAACCTAATTCTTTTCCCTATATAAACTCTACTCCTAAGCTCCAATATCTCTCACAAACCTAAAAAGCTCTAAAACCCGATATTGAAAACTTTTACCTAAACGAAATGGCTTGCACTTTTGCTTTCCTCAACGACGTGCGTCCCTACAAGACTTCTTGGAGGGTCCAAGTCAAAATCTTGCACTCCTAGCGCCAGTATATGCAGAGTACTGGTGAAACACTAGAGATTATCATCTCTGATGAACAGGTGTTAGTCATATTAATCTCTATTTTATAATTATGTTCAAAACACTTCACTTATTCCCTACTAATACACAACTTTACCTATTATTATTTGCAGGGGAAAAAAATGCATGCAACAGTAAAGAAAGACTTCACTTATTCCCTACTAATACACAACTTTACCTTTATGTCTTACCAATTTCAATCTATATATTCGAATACAGACAATTACTAACTAATATGTTTTTTTTTTTTTGTTCATGGAGATCACACGTTACCAATCAATTCAATCAAGATGAAGAGAAGGACACAACAATATCAGAGAAAAGACAATTAGAATCATATTACGTTGCTATTTTACTCAAACAGTGATTGTTACTTTCAAATGAAGAGGTTATGACTCAGGTTTCAATTTTTATCTACAACATTCTTTTACAGTTTCTTCCCTATGTCACTTCAATGCTAAGTTTATTTCATAAAATAGTTTTACTGGTAGAGTAAATACGCACCTGGAACGAACCATCCTTGCTAATTCTTAAACTGCAGTTTTGGTCTGCATAAAATTATTAGCAATTAGCAACATATAACATGGATAAATATTGCAATGACGTGGAAAACTTTTTCTAAACAACATCTGCACAATTAGATAGAATATTGTATAACTGAGAATACTTATATTTATACTTTCTATTATAATAGTTAGGGATGATATTTTCATAAAAGACAGTTTTAGATACACAAATAGTTAATTCGTACGATGTAATTGTTAAGACTCAGTTTTGCAGAGACTCAGTTCTTCTGTCCCAACTTCAGAGACTTAATTTGAAGAGATTTTAAAAAAAATCATCAAATTAACATAATAACAAACAAGCCATGGACAATGAAACCGAACACTTCTAAGATCAGAAAAAGCAAACAATACTCTAACTGAATCAGACCTTTCACTTAATCCTAAAGAATAGAATGAAAAGCATACCGAAATAGTTTCAATCTTCCATTTTAAAAATCACAGATTATCCAGTCCAGAAAGACAGAGAACAAACCTTAGTAGCGCCTATTACGTCATGTCTTGCCTCTTAAAGTGTTGCCATTTGAATCTAATCTTCTCTTTATAATATCATGTTTCTGTAATTCACACATTGCACAAGCTTAAACATGTTTCAAACACAAAAATTGTCACTGGAGTAAGACAGTGAACAATTTCAAACATACCACGTCACAAAGCAGTTCTCCACTAATATCCATAGCATCAACACTAAGAATCGAACATGGTAGAGCAGGAAAACGTATATCGAACTACATCATCAATGAAAAGTTATAAACATGTTAATCATAAATTATCCCTTAACTTAGCTAATCGATTAAGGGATTCGTAGATAGAGAAACGGAAACGAAAAGTATAAATGAACATATCTGTTCTCTATTGGGATCGATTTAAAAAGTAAATAAGATAGATTTGCAGATTTTACCTTAGATCCATACATAGAATCGTTTGGATTTGGGGTTATGGACGATTTGTGATGAAATCTTCTATTCACAGCTCTAATCGAGAATAAAATTACAAGATTCAGGAATAAAACCAGATGGATTCGTCGATTAAAAAGAGAAAAGGAAACGAAGTATACGATTTAGTTCTCATGAGCCCTGATGTTGAAACGGTGGAATTCGTAGCAAACAACAGTGTAACATTGATCTATTCTTTGGAGCAGATGAAGCAATCGATTGAACTTTCAGCTCCTTATGACAACGATTTTGTGCATAGAGAAAGAAAATCTTAGGTTATCGAAGAAGAGTGAAAATTGGTGCCGACAACAAACTACACTTAATTATCTACTCACTGATGAAAAAAAAAAATAAATAAATAAATTATCTACTCACTTTCTTTTTTTACACAACAATATAATTACCAAATGTGTCTATAGGATAGTTATTTTTTTAAAGACCAACATACATTTTTTTTAATTCGTAAAAATTATATTAGAATTGGTTCAATTTAATAATCAAAGTTTATAACAAAATTAACTTAAAACTATATTTGGTATGAAATTCATAATTGTTCCCACTCATATTTTCAATGCACAACACAACTATATATATTCTAAAGTGATACATTATTTATTTTAGAAACAAACAAAATGATCAAACATAATAATACTTAACTTATATTACAAAATTTAATATATTTAATTAGAAACTATAATTTCTAAATTAAGAAAACAAAAAAAAAATTCTCTAACAAATCAATCGTTACTTACGGAATTATATGTTACCATTCCTATATTTTTCAACCGTAAACCTAAAAAAAAAATATATATATATATATATAGATATATGGATGGTACATTTAAAATATATAAATAAATATATTTTTCTCTATTAATAAACAAAATAATTTATATTTTAATTTTTAAAAAAAAATATAGCCCCGCGGTGTACCGCGGGTTCAAATCTAGTATATATACACAATTAGGACCCCGTTATTTTTAAAATATAATTACTTAATTTTTTTGTAACTATCTATATATAACAATATTTGAGAAGTATTTTTGCTGACGTGTCGGACTCTCGGCTCTTGTTGAGTCCTTGATTTTACGTAATTACTTAATTACCCTTAATGAAATCTAATTAATTTTGGAAAAATTAAATTGAATTTCGGAATTAACCAGGAAAAAATAATTTTGGAAACAATAAACATGATAATTAACCAAAAAAAAAAAAAGAACAACGAAGTACCAGTTAGGAAGCTTTAATTGAATTCATCGTGTTCTTCGTCGTGTGAATATAATTCTTCTAAACGAAGGCAAAACGTGAAATCCTAACATAAAGCATATATTCATAGCAATAACAGAGATCTAATAATTTAGTGATAGAATTTCACCTGTTGATCTGTCGAAGCAGAATAGTCAAGCTTCTCATAGTATCTTGCCCATGTTATGTCTTTAAGACTTCAATACTATCCTGCACCCTATAATTCTAACCAATGAAAAGAACAAATATTTATTACCTTGGATACAGAGTTGACGAAGAAACCTTAGATAAAAACTCGACGAAGAAACTTGTAAGTGTTAATGTATGATGAAGCTTCCATGAACGTGAATTCGTGATAATAATGAAGAAACGTGTGAATGGAGACGGTTGATGGGTTTTTTTTTTTTTTTTTTTTTTTTTCTTTTTTACCTTTTGTGTAAACAGATCTGTTTCATAATTTATCGGAAAGGAATTATACCAAAAAAAAAAATCGGAAAAGGAAAATATTTATTATAATATTGATATATTTAAGATGATAATGTCAAATATCCGAAAATTATTAATCGGAGCATTAATATAAACATAAAAGAATACTATTCTAACCTTACTCAAATTAATAAGATTTAGATATCCAAAATTAATCGTAAACGGCTATTAATTGTTAAACTAATTAAAATAAAGATCAAACGTACCGGAATAGATGAAATTTTTGGTATGATCGTCGTGTTCGTCGTCGTTTCAATCTAAATATTTGGAAAAAAAAACGAACAAAAAAAATAATATGTAGATCAATGAAAGAGAACCCACCAATTTAGAAACGGTTATCACGCCATCGTATTGTTCGTCGGATGATTATAAGTCTCTAATCCGGAGATTGACTTGAACCCTGACAAAAACATATATTCATAGCATAAAATCGTAAATAGAAGGTAGAAGACCACCTATTAATCGGTTGTAACCTTGTGCAAACTCGATTTAATTTTGACGAATGAAATGTTGGTGTGGTGTCAAAACTTTCTTGGGGAGACTCGAAGATGAGAGAGCTGAAGTCAGAGATAGGCAGAGAGGTTTACATGTGAATTAAGGTATGGAGTGCTAACGTGAACATGAACGTGAACGGTTATCACGCCATCGTATTGTTCGTCGGATGATTATAAGTCTCTAATCCGGAGATTGACTTGAACCCTGACAAAAACATATATTCATAGCATAAAATCGTAAATAGAAGGTAGAAGACCACCTATTAATCGGTTGTAACCTTGTGCAAACTCGATTTAATTTTGACGAATGAAATGTTGGTGTGGTGTCAAAACTTTCTTGGGGAGACTCGAAGATGAGAGAGCTGAAGTCAGAGATAGGCAGAGAGGTTTACATGTGAATTAAGGTATGGAGTGCTAACGTGAACATGAACGTGAACGGCGGTGATTTTTGCACATAATAGCAATTAGATCGAGTTTTGGAAAAAAATATGGATCAGCGTGACATGACGCATATGGATACCATGCATGTCTATCTATTGTAAATCAAAAATTATATTATTGTTCCGCCTTATTTTTGAAACAGAAAGGAATTTTCCCTTAAATTTTAATATATTTTATAAGATAGTATCAGATATAGTAGTAAATCTAAAATAGTTGTTATTATTCCATATTTTTACGGAAAAAAGTAAATATTATTTTAAATAAACATGGATAACAATGAATAAATGGCAGTTTTACAAATATTTATTATTATGATAGTGATTTGCTTATTAAAATATGTAAATTTTCTTTTCCTTTTTTGTATTTATCGTCGAAAAATTTAGAAACCCTAAATCATGCACCGCCTCCTATTCAATATAAATACCTTGCTCATGGTATTCAATTTCAGATCATAACTAACCCTTGTTTTTTTGTTCTTTTTTTTCAAACTTTTTTTTGCTTCTACCTAATTTTAATTTTTCTTTTTATTGTAGAGTGGATGTATGGAGGGGACGATGTGAACTGGTGTATGGAAAATTTGGACCTAATTCAATGAATAAACAGGTGATCTTATAGTTTATATGTACAAATTTGATTTTTTTTTTTTTTTGTATTTATGGTTTCACTATTTTCACCACTAATCAATTTTTATAATCAAAGAGTTTGGTTTCAACTTTTGAGAAGGTAATCATCGATGGTTTGGTATGTTTCTTTTTGTTGTAAAAAGATGAGGTACCTCCCGATTTTGTTGAGGTACATGTTCTTATTATTTTCAAATATGTCTTTTTTCATAAGAAACACTCAACTTTTGATAACACAGTTGCCACAAAGTCAGAAAGATGACTTATTTCAGGGATGAATCTTCAGAGGAGGCTAATTTTTGTCGTTAATACAATTTAAGTATTCCTCTCTTTAGATTAGGGATAACAAACTTGGCTGTTAAATTCAGGAATTACTCTTCGTTGCCAATCTCTCTCCCCAAACTAAAATATTACATATATGGAAGTAGTAACTTAAAGTTTTTAGTATCGAGGTCATTCTAAGGCACTGAGATTCGGACTTTGGTATGTATAGGATTCGTTTTCCATGCACTAAGATTTAATTATTGTTTAATTTATTGGTTTTTAGGTTTCTTTCCATGCTCTGATGCGTTTTCGGGTGTGCCAATGGAAGCTTGCATCACTCTTTACTCCAAGCGTAAGTATGCTCTGCATTAGCTTCTTCTGTTCCATTGGTTATTATGGGTTTTGACTTTTGAGAAATATACAACAATTTAAAACCAGGTTTTGTTGTTGATTGGTTCGGTTTGTATACCATATTTTGCTAAATACATATGACCATAAATAAGACCAAAGGAGCTGGGTTAGCTCCTTTGCCAGCTAGGTTGACTTCGTCTCCTCCCCGTCTTGCGGATTTCCGTTATTCAACGGGTATATTTGAGAAGTATACGGTACTAAAACCACAACCATTGATCTTACCTTGATCGGTTCTTCCCTAGGATTTATACATAAAAGTAAATTGTTTTGTTTAATAATTTTCCATTGCATGAACTTTCGAGACAACAAGTGGACAGGAGTGTAATGTCATCAAAAGTCAAATCAAACACTGTGAGGAACATAATAGACAACGTTGGCTTCTTTCGCAGCTGCTCAACGTTGTCTCTCCCGATGGTCCCAACACTCTCTTCTTCTTTTTTGTCAACATTCAAACGTTGTTTAAAATAAATAAAAATGTTTAACCTTAATCATCTTTCTAGATCTTTAAATGCCTAAAACTTCAACTTAATCAGTCAGCAATCCGTCACGTTAATGATTTTGAAAGGAAGACTTTTGTTTTGTTTCGGTTAGTTTTGTTTGTTTAGTATTTTAATCACAAGATAACTCTAATTTCCCATTAGAGTTGTGTTAATTGTGTTGATTATGATTTGGCGTTCCAATTCTGATATTATTTTTATGTTGTAAATCTTAAACTGTTACGTTATTGTTCTATCTTCCTATGTGAGAAAAAAGTAAAATGTTTTAAAATTTTGACATGGATAATAATATAATTGTAAATCTATAATAATTATATTATCATTTTATTTATATTTTTCAAAAAGAAATATATTTATCTTAATAGATTTAATATGATAATGTCAAATATAGTTATAAATCTAAAAGAGTTATGTTATTATTCCATCAATTTATGAGAAAAAAGCAAATATTCTCTTAAACTTTTAAATTAACGTGGATAATAATAAATAAATGATAATTTTACTAATATGATAATGATTCGGTTTTAATCTTACCAAAAAACAAATAATGATTCTGTTTTAAAAATATATAAATTTTCTTTGTTTAGTTGTAGATATTGTCATATAAAATTTTCTTAGATCCTCCACTGCCTTAATTTTATGTAAATACCTTGCTTGATATTTAATTTTGATTTGATATCATAACTAATCCTTGCTTTTTTTTTCGGCACTAACCATTGAATTTTTTATACTGCCATTTAATTCTTGCATAAAAAATAATAATTAATAGTAGTGTTTATTATGAATGCAGGTTTGTTTTCCATAAAAACTAGATTGGATTTATGGAAGCACGCCATTGTTTCCAGTGCGA